AAAAGCATCAGTTTAGAGTGCCTGCTCCCTAACATATTCAACTTGACTTTCATAATTTCTCTTTTAACTTGAAAAATTTTGTATCATGAAACCCATGGTAAATGAAATGTACTCCTTCTGATTTTAAGACATAATAGAGTAATAAATTAAGTAGTTTTTCAAGACTTCTAAACATGAGTTAAAACAAAGTGACATAAAATGTAGCTGGCTTCTCCATCCTGGAAAAGTAATGAAAAATTATTTGGAGAAACTTTTCAAATTTCAAGGCCTGAGATATGTCAAATGTGAATACAAAAACAGAACATACCGCCTGTAGCTTTATTAACTGGTAACCTGGTGCCATTTTTCCTTCAGATAGTTTTGTAAAGAAATAAAACCTTATTGCTTCAATTGAGAATGACTGTGTTGCCATCCTCTGTTATACACGCCTGCCTCCTGAGAGTAATCATAATCATGAAATCAGTACAGACCATATTCATCTATTTTTTTTTCAACTTTTAGTACCCCAAGTCAATCTCCCAAATTTTCTAGACTGCACTGTCCAATGCAGGACCCACTATCCACACATGGCTATTGGACATATAGAAGGTAGCCAGTCTAAACTGAGATGTACGATAGGTAGAAAACACACACCAGGTCCCAAAGAACTGGTACAAAATATAAAATATCTCTTATTGATTATCTATTGAAGTGATAATGTGTTGGATATGCAAGTTAAAGAAAGTATATTATCAAAATTAATCTCACCTTTTTTAAACCTTTTAAGTGGTGGTTACGATAAAATTTTAAATTATGAATACAGCTTGCATTAGTTTCTAGTTGGATAGTGTTGGTCAGAGGTGCTCACCAGGGGACTCTTTGGTAAAGGGGAAGTTATCTCATTGATATTTTATATGAACCTGGTTTTGCATGTACTCAGACTTGCCTAAAATGAGGACTATTTGCATTTGTGTCTGTAAACACTGGCCTGTTGAAATGTTCCAGGAATGATATCTAAAATCCTCTACTCCTCCCACCCAGCAGGAATAGCACAAGATAGATTTCTCCTCTCGCTTCCAGCCACTGGATGATGAAATCCTGAATTGTTTTCATTGAAGTGACCTTCTAGAACTACCCACCCCTTTCTTCTGTATACCACTGAAAGCTGAGGCCAGGCAGGTGGGGCCCTGGGTGCCTGGGGTCTCGTTAGACCCCACTAACGAGAAGGCTAGAACCGTGGTCTCCTCAGACTTCAAACTGCCTTCCCGGAAAAGTGATCTTCCTTTTCTATTATAGCAATTTCAGATGCTCTTTCTTTTTCTTTTCTTTTTTCTTTTTTTTTTTTTTTTTGCTTTAAAAGGCACTTACTTTTTTATTTTTATTTTTTCATTTATTTTTATTAGTTGGAGGCTAATTACTTCACAATATTGTAGTGGTTTTTGCCATACATTGACATGAATCAGCCCTGGATCTACATGTGCTCCCCATCCCGATCCCCCCTCCCGCCTCCCTCCCCATCCCATCCCTCTGGGTCTTCCCAGTGCACCAGCCCCAAGCACTTGTCTCATGCATCCAATCTGGGCTGGTGATCTGTTTCACTCTTGACAGTATACTTGTTTCAATGCGATTCTCTCAGAACATCCCATCCTTGCCTTCTCCCACAGAGCCTAAAAGTCTGTTCTGTACATCTGTGTCTCTTTTTCTGTTTTGCATATTGGGTTATCTTTACCATCAGATGCTCTTTCACTCTGAACAGTCAATAGTTTCATGATTCCTGACTCAAGACCAGAAAGAAAAAAAAAGGGAAAAAGATATTTTTTCCTTATCTGTCACTTTATTTCTGTGAGAGAATCAATGTCACCTAAAGAGAAATTTGTAAATGACAAATTCGATCTGTTGCTAAGTGCATCTGATGCTGGTGCCGTGTGTGTGTGTGTGTCTGTGTGTGTGTATGTGTGTGTGTGTGTGTGTGTGTATTTGAAGAAGTAGCAGGTACAAGACACTGGCCTGGGAAGGAGACTCCAGTTCATTTTTTTTTTTTTAACTATAGTTGCTGTACAATGTTAAATAAGTTACAGGTGTATAATACAGTGATTCACAGTTCTTAAAGGTTATACTCCATTTATAATTATTATAGAATATTGGTTCTATGCCCCGTGATGTCCAATACAGCCTCATAACATATTTTATACCTAACAATGTATACCTAATAAGTTTGTACCTCTTATTCTCCACCACTATGCTACCCCTCCCCCTGAGACCCCAGACTTAGTCTAGCTTGGCCACCTTTAGATATGTGACTTCAGAAAGTGACAAGAATATGGCTTTTGGAACCAAACCACCATAGACTAACCCCAGTCCCACCACCTCACTCTTTGTTTGACTTAGAGCAATTAGCTTCATTTCTACCAGTCTCAGCTTCCTGTCTGGAAAACCTAGATTAATCACACCCACCTCACAGGTTTGTTGAGAAGATTAAGTGAGATAACGCATCTAAGATTCTAATAGAATGAAGGTATTTTTACTAGTCAGAACACTAGATGATTGCACTAGAAGGTTTTTGAGATATTTCTATGAAAATATAAGAATATTCAACCCTTTAAATAAATGGAAATTCTGGCTTTTGAAGACTTTAAGCAATTTTAAGATGAGAGACTGTGTATTTGTAGATGTTGTGCTGTGGTGAGAGTAGATACATCCCAGGGTCCTGGGGCCAGGAGATATTGATGCCAAAATCGTGGCCTCTGTGCCTGGCACTGAATTGGAGCGGCATCTCCCAAAGTGTGTTGTTGCAAGGACTCATGAGGAAAAGGTTACAGTCTCCTATGAGATCAGAAAACTCTGCAAATCACCATGTATGTGTTTGTGCTAAGTCGCCTCAGTTGTGTCTGACTCTTTGAGACCTTATGGATGGTAGCCCACCAGGCCTCTCTCTCCATGGGATTCTCCAGGCAAGAATACTGGAATGGGTTGCCATGCTCTTCTCGAGGGGATCTTCCCGACCTAGAGATCGAACCCACGTCTCTTATGTCTCTTGCACTGGTGGGCAGGTTCTTTCCCACAAGTGCCACCTGGGAAGCTGGCAAATTACCATATACACCCAAATATAACCCAGGGAAAAAATAGCTTTATTGCTTTGCTAGGCCAAAGGGGACACAGCAGGTTTGTGCTCTGAAAACCTGTATGTCCCAGCTCAGGAGGGTTTGGTGAGGAGGTGTATAGCAACGGCTCAAGAGCAGTGTTGCTGATCAGGATCAGGGTGTGTGCAGGGCCTGCACGTCTTTAATCTGGTCTCAGGTGGTCTCCTGATGAGTTTCTTAAAGCTATCAAACTGTGATTTTCTCTGAAATGCAGAATGCTAACATCTTCCATTTGTTGGGGGCTTTAATTCTGTAAAGAGCCCAAAGAGATCTCTCTGTGTATCCCTGAGACAGAGCCAGGACCCTGCCCCAAGTCTGCACTATTGTTTCTTGGCCATTCTCCCCTTGTCTCTGCATCGCCTTTCTTCCCTTATTACCAACTGTTCGAATCTGCCTTTTGGGATTCTGGAAAGGTCATGGAGGCTGCAGTCTGTTCCCTACAAACAATAAACAGGGGATATGGCAAAGCTTCCATGCCCAGGAGTCCCATAGGGTCCGGTTGAGTTTTTATATGAAGGAGAAAATGGTCAGTTCTACAGGCAGATATGGTCCATGGAACCAGAGTTCAGTCTTGGAAAGTTGTATCCAAAGTATATTAATACATAATATGATATATGGTATGAATATGAATCCAAGCTAAATAGATTACATAGATTCCAGTTGCTTAGGCACAATTAGATCCTCTCTACCCTCTAATCCCACCCTCAAACCCTCAAATATGCACTGTGAAAAGACTGATACTAATACAAGCAACAGGAAAAAGGAAGTATCTGACGTTTAACTTAGGTTACCATGTCTAATTTAAGTAGGCTTTATCATGCACATTTTATAGATGAGAAGCTAAGACTCTGAGGCTACGTTCATTATGCAGGTTCATCACACTGGGAAAAGTAGCATCGCTGAGATTTGAGCTTGAGCCTGCTGACTTTTAAACTCTTGTGCTTTGCACTACACCTTCATGTCCCAATGCAATGGAGCTGATAATTTTCCATCTCCAATTTCAAAATTGTTAATGTTTCCAGGTTACTCTCTAATTACTGTTTAGAATGGATATTGTATCTCTATGCCTAAATTCTTTCATCTCTAAAAGGGGCCTAGATGGGCTCCAAGATTGTTTCTGCATTTTATATTCTATAGTCTATCTTGATTTTATAACTGGAAAAAAAGGCACTAGTACAATCCATTTTTCACTAATTAATCTCTGTTATATAAAAATATTTGAAAGAACTGAAATTGTTGGGCTTGTCAAAGGAGAGAAAACTAGCAGCAGGTGGAAGGGGTGGGGAGATGTCAAACAGAAAGTATTTTTGTGTAACATAAAAAATATCTTCAGATATTTTAAAGATTGCTACCTGATGGAAGAGAAATTGGACTTAATCCCTTTTTTAACTCAAGGGATATAATTAGGATTGATGAGGAAATATCCTAGATTTCTACCCTTTCTCATAAACAGAACTTGCCTGCCACATAAGGTCCCATGATGACTTAGATTCAGCAAAATGACTGGACCAGAAAACTTAAGATTACTTCCCATTCTAAGAGTCTTTGATTCTGTAATAGACTGGTCTTCCATATTAACCCTGGGAAGGGCAGTCTATTTTTAACAAAGTTAAAAACTCTGGTTCAAAGGTATAAAACCATAACTAGTATATGAGTCCTGAGTGAATAGGAGAAAAATATATGGGGATGCAGGTGGAGAAGGGAACGTGAGACATCAAAATTCATTCTAGGAGACCCCACAGGCCCCATTTCCAGTAAAGACTGGCTTCTACCCCAGAACTTCCCCATATTCATCACATCAGTGATTGGACAGTCAGGAGTGTTGCATGTAACCTCTGAACAGCTTAAGAATCCCACCTGGTCTCTCTCCTTCTCTTTCAGATGTTCACCTCCACAATATTTGCAGTAATTGGAGTCCTGGGTGCTGGATACTCCTTTATCGTTTCAGCCGTCTCAATCAACAGGGGTCCAAAATGTCTCATAAGCCAAAACAACACGTGGGGCTACCCCTTCCACGAAGGGTAAGGTACACCCCGCAATACCAGCGTGTCACCACCGGGGACACCCTGACGTAAATGCCCGGGGCAGGGTGCGGGGGACCCCGTGCAAGGTCCTCCATCTTCAGTTTACAAGCCTCAGGCGTGTTGCTCTTTGAGGCAGAGCTGCAGTCCTGCAGTGAAATTCAAGATCTCACCTCTCAGTGATCTTGTGATAGACACCAGAAGAAGTAATCAAAGAAGGTACCTCACCTGTTCCATCCCTGGGGTGGGAAGGTGAGGGCATGGCAACCCTTTCCAGTATTCTGACCTGGAGAATGCCATGGTCAGAGGAGCCTGGTGCGCCACAGTCCGTGGGGCCACAGAGAGTCAGACACGACTGAAGCGGCTTGGCACTTACTCACTACGCTGTCCTGAGGGAAGAGGTTGGTGCTACCACCACTTGCACTCAAACAGTTATTAGCATCAACACGAGGCGACTTAAAACATTAATAAACAGAGAGCATTGTTTGAAAATCTTATAATAGAAAATGAGAATGATTATTCGTAAACAGAGCTCAAAGGCCTTCACTGGTACTCATAAACAGGGTGTAAAGACCTTCACTGATCGCCTGCATGATAAATACTTAAACAATCTTTTTTTTTTCCATTTATTTTTATTAGTTGGAGGCTAATTACTTTACATCATTGCAGTGGTTTTTGTCATACATTGAAATGAATCAGCCATGGATTTACATGTATTCCCCATCCCGGTCCCCCCTCCCACCTCCCTCTCCACCCCATCCCTCTGGGTCTTCCCAGTGCACCAGGCCCGAGCACTTGTCTCATGCACCCAACCTGGGCTGGTGATCTGTTTCACCCTAGATAATGTACAAGTTTCGATGCTGTTCTCTTGAAACATCCCACCCTCGCCTTAAGGTGCAAATTTACTGAAAACGTTGTAGGTTCTTCATGACAGTTAATGCTAATAGAACTCATTAAAGTAACACTTCATATTTTCAGGTACTTTGTAAAGAACTTTTTAAACAAATGAATTTATAATTTAATCTGCACAACAACCTCAACAGGTGTGACTTCTTCCCCGCCCCCGCCACAAGGCAGGCTGAATAAGCGTGATGTGTTTCCCATCTCTCAGTTAGCAGGGACAGAGACCAGGCACAAACTCCTGCCTTCTAGCTTTGGGTCCTAGTCCTTTTATATGACACATCCTTCTGCCCCTACCTAGACTGCATCGCTCAAGGCAGTAGACAGTTGCCGTATGTGTCTACTTAAACTTAAGTTCCAACAAATGAAATTAAGCTTAAAATTCCTCAGTCAAACTAGCCATATTTTAAGCACTCAGTGACTGCAGATGGCTACTATTGACCATGTTGGACACTGCAGAGGTGGGACATTCCCATTCGATAGGGTTACACTAGACTCTAACTTCCGAAAGGGCCGAGACGGCCTCTGTCTCAATCATCATTATAACCCCTCTGTCTGGCCCAGGGACTGACGTATCTAGGGAGTCAGAAACTAGAGTTGTTGGGTTTTCCCAACAGAGAATGGGCCCATGCCTAAAAAAAACCTGTAGGACATCAATTCATTAAGTCAAAGCCCTAGTTATGGATGTATATGAGAGGTTACAGAATCTCCTGAGCAGGCTCCAGACAGAAGAGATGGAGGCGGCTGGTTCTTATGACCTGAGGTCTTGGTTTGTCCACAAGGATTTCACATAATATCCCCACCCTTCTCTGTAGTTACAAGGCCTCTAACGTCCTTATAGTGCGTGTAGCAGTTGCCATGCGTGTTTACGTTGCTGTGGCCAGCCCTGTCCTCTTACAGAGGACCGCTGTGGCCTTGACTTGCTGAGTGCAGCGTGCAGACGGCATGAGGCTGAGCCGTCTCCTGAGGTCCCTCCTTGGATGGAGCCCTCCTGCCGACCCAGGGGCGTACCTACAAAGCTACACATTATGCCTCCTTTCAAGGACCCTTCTCCTAGTATTCCTATGGACAGCGTTTTTCCTATAATGTGAACGGTACTCCCCTTGATGGATCTGAAACCAATTAGAATACATCTACGTCCAAAACAAAGGAGAGAGAAAGAAATACAAGAGATGCCAAGTTACACTCCAAGGCAGTACAGTGGCCTCATATTGTTCTGGCACTCTCATACCCAGCTTGGGGTGGGCTGGCACTGATGCGCCAGGTCAGGACAGAGACAGCTGGTCCATGGGTCACCTCAGGAAATACCAGCCTGGGGGTAGGACAGGAGACCACTTTCCTGTTTTTCTCATTTGTGTTTTTTTTTTAATTGGAGTATAGTTGATTTACCACATTGCGTTAATTTCTGCTATGCATACTAAGTCGCTTCAGTCATGTCCAACCCTTGTGACCCCGTGGACTGCAGCCCACCAGGTTCCTCTGTCCATGGGATTCTCCAGGCAAGGATACTGGAGTGGGTTGTCATTCCCTTCTCCAGGGGGTCTTCCAGACCCAGGATCGATTCTGCGCCTCTAACAACTCCTGCATGGACAGTTGGGTTCTTGACCACGAGCGCCACCTGGGATGCCCCAATTGTTGCTATACAGAAAAGTGATTCTGGGTTCTTTGGTAGCTCAGATGGTGAAGAATTTGCCTGCAATGAGGAGACCTAGGTTCGATCCCTGGGTCAGGAAGAACCCCTGGCGAAGGGAATGGCAACCCACTCCAGTATTCTTGCCTTGAATTCCATGGACAGAGGAGCCTAGTGGGCTACAGTCCATGGGGTCGCAAAGAGTCAGACACGACTGAGCAGCTTTAATTTTTTCATTTCATTTTCCATTCTAGTTTATTTCAGGACACTGAATATAGTTCCCTGTGCTGTAGACACAGTAAGGCCTTGTTCGTCCATCCTATGTACAGTAGTTTGTGTCTGCTAATCCCGAACTCCCAGTTCATTCCTCCACACTCCCCTTCCCCCGGCAACCACAAGTCTATTCTTCATATCTGTGAACCTGTGTCTGTTTCATAGGTAAGTTCGCTTGTGTCATATTTTAGACTCCATGCATAAATGATGTCCTGTGATATCTGTCCTTCTCTCTCTGACTTACTTCACCTAGCATGATAATCTCTAGGTTCAGCTATGTTACTGCAAATGACAATACTTCATTCTTTAATGGCTGAGTAATAGTCCATTGTATATATGGACTATATCTTCTTTATCTATTCATCTATCGATAGACATTTAGGTTGAAGATACCACTTTTCAAAGTCTTCTGCATCTGTCCTGCTGAAACAAGTTTGCATTCACATCAGACACCTGTATCACACTTTACTGCATGATAGATCCTTTTGGATGTGTCATTTTATTTACCCCTCTCAACAGCAGCTAACCCATCCATTAAGAGGTATTGGATTAGAGTGGTTTAATGATAAAAACAGAATAAACTGTTTTTATTAATAAAAGTAGTTTTATTTTACTTTTTATTTTTTTTAATAATAAAAACAGAATAAACTGTGCAGAAAAGCAGGAATTCTCCCACTCATCCCCTTTTTGCCATGAGGTTTTGATAGTTATCAAAAGGGAGAAAGGTTTGTGTACTCACACATTTGCATAGTAGCTTCAAACTACAATATGATTAAAAATCGCTGCATTTGGATTTATTACAAAATCATACATGCTATACACTCTGCAGGTGATTTATAAGATAGAATGATTTTGACTATTGGTGCTGTATCCCATCAGGCCCTGACTGTAGGATTTAATCTCACATAAAATGCAGGTCCACCTTTGGTGTGAAATATGCCACGATCGCTACACAGGGCTTTCAGGAGGATGAGTCCAGACATGTCTCCCCTCACCCTCTGCCACCGGGCAGGCTTTCCCCAGCCCCCATTCTCCCCTACATCCGGCGTCTTTCCTCCTTTATAGCCTTCTCTCCTGCAGCCAGCTCCAAACCTGCCTTCCAGCTGCAGAGGCTCATTCTGAGTTTCTTATAACAACCCTCGAATCCTGTGTTGCCTAGTATTTTCAGCCAAAGTGGGAGGGGGTAGTGGGGCGAATCGGGAGATCGGGATTGACACATACACCCTACTGTGTGTGCTCCAGGCTCCTCAGTCCATGGGATTTTCCAGGCATGAATACTGGTGTGGGTTGCCATTTCCTTCTCCAGGGGATCTTCCCGACCCAAGGATTGAACCCAGGTCTCCCGCATTGTAGGCAGATGCTTTGCCGTTGTAGGCAGACGGTTTGCCGTCTGAGCTACCAGGGAAGCCCCACTTTTGGCCGAAACCTGTCTCAAATATGGAGCAGAGGAGGACAGACCTGGTCCCCTGCCCCAGTGAGCACATGGTAAGTTAGGGTGTTAAGAGGGAACGGACCCTCACCTGCCAAAAGGGTGAAATGAAGGGGAAACTTCTTGCGCAAGGGAAACTTCTTGGAGGAGGTGACAGGGGATGATCTTGGGAGATGTGCAGAAGCGTGTCTTTTGGAGAGGAGGGGAAACGGTTTCAAGCAGAGAGAAGAGGAAGTCCTGAGGCTACCTTGAAAAGGTTCCATGTGCTCAGGGAACGTCCGATCACTGAGTGGCCAGAACCGCAGGGAGAATGTTGAGCGAGGAGCAGAAGGACTCCACAGGATGGGGTGATGGAGACACAGGTAGACCCGCAGGACATTAGGGGACAACAGAGGGCCTCAAGCGGGATAAGCCGTGGCCATCTGGGAGTTTCAGGGTGACCGTGACGCAGTGATGTGGAGGGTGAACAAAAGGACTCAGTAACTGACAGAGGGAGCAAAGTAGGAGGTTGGAGGAACAGTCCAGACAAGATTCTGAGCATCTCCAAGGCAGTGGAACTGGGGCTCCCAAGGGGAGACGTTTCAGAGACTGAGATGGAATCATCAGGATTAGGAATGAGAAGAAAGGGGGAAGGTGATCAAGCTGGACTCTGAGGTTTCCAGGTTGGGGCACAAAATTCAGGGCTCTTCAAGGATATAGAATTTAGTTCTGTTTTCCTTAGAAATGCCTGTTGTTGATCATATTAAAGGAACAAAGGCAGTTAACTTT